CTGAGCAATATCACACCTGCGTGTCAGTCTGTTGTCTAAAAGAAAAAAATTGTAATTTATTGGTTCAAATTATTTATTTTTTATATAGCACGTAGAGATCAAATATACTCTTCTGTTCATATTATCTTTCGTTTTCATTTTTCATGAGTAATATACTATTACAATGCATGTATTCAATTAAAATTTTAAAGGTATTAAGATGTCAACGGTGGTAAATTGAGAATATTCATGTTTTAATTTTTTATCAAAAGTATGTCATTTTAAACGTATAGCTATCAGACTTGGAAATCAATTTGACTGTAGAACAAAGAAGGTTGAATAATCCCCACCTCAGATGTTATGTTAATCGTGCAAATTTTGTAAGACTTCCTTTTTTCCTTCCTATTTACCATTTCCCACGCCAACTGTTTTTTCGCCAGTTTTATCATACGTTCTTTCACAAGTTATATATATTTTTATATAGAGATGCATTGAAGAAACGTTCTTTCAATTTTGTTGAACAATAAACGTAAGTTTTAATTTGTGTCAACCCACAGAAAATATATTCCGCGTTCCTCGATGTAAAAAAGTGCATGCTGATCGCCAAATCTGCTTGTCATCATGGATTTCCAGTCGAAAAGCCGATTTTTGAAATAATAGGAAACACTAAGAAGCGCCGCAGATTATTACAAAGGAAATACCTGTCGTGATTTGCCCCGTTATATAATAATAATATCTCCGTTATCTAACATGTATTCCATTATTTTAAAACAAAGACATTTTGTAGAGCTTAGCATTGATGAATTGTACAACACTATGGTAAACATAAGAACAAAAGTCATAATAAGCCATGTGTATCAAGCCACAAGTCAAAGTAATATATGCTTTAAGAAGAATCATTTAATATATATAGGCCTATATATATATATATATATATTTGAGGGAAAATTTCTTTTTTGTGGAATGGCTCCAAATAAATCTGATAGGCCTACCAATAATATTTTATTGGTAAAGTAAAAAAAATATAATAATGAGCAGGACAGCATATTATTACAAAGTAAATACATGTGATTTCCTCCGTTATATAATAATAATAATATCTCTGTTATAGGCCTTAGTATTCCATCCTTCTGTTTGATTTGGGGCCCAGTTACCATACATCAGTCCGGTATAACGTGACAGAGAGTCCCCCATGATAGAGTCGCTTCCTATTCATTTTCACAGCTAAGCCTCGCCCTAGATTTTAACCCACTAGGTCAGGCTAACCCTAACCATTATAACTAAATGGAGGTAGGACTTTTTGTTACACGGACCCTCGGTTTCGTTACGCCGGGACTTGTTATTGGTGTCTGAAATAACGGGGTCCCCGACACTTTGTAATGGGGGACTGTCTAGTACTACAGTAAATGCTAAATGTCATTCTGTATTGTTGGTTCTTTTGCTTCAGTTGAATTAATCACTTAGCGATAGGCCTAGTTATGAAAAAAAAAAAAAAAAACAAGGCAGCAAAGCTGTCAAATGTACAGACAAAAAACAGAAAATAAAGATGCAAAAAAGGTCATTTTGTTAATTTTGATGCAATAATAAATAATGCTTATAATAGCACTATCAGTCAACACTGAATTTTATAATCATGCACAACAGGTAAAATGGTCAATAACATGAGCGGACCCAGAGATATTCTCTGACAGTATTCCAAAGTATCTATTTTGATCCATCCTCCATTTTGATGGTCTTCCAACAGAAGAAAAAATNAATGGTTTTCCACTTATCGTGTTATCGGTGCTGCATATATGCTGAAAAAGTGAAAAAACAGCATAAATTCCCTAAAAATGGCCCAATCATGCCGATTTTCGAACTTGACCTGCATATTATGAATATTCATCAGTTCTGTAAGTTTCAAGTCAAAAGGTACAATGGTTTTCCACTTATCGTGTTATCGGTGCTGCATATATGTTGAAAAAAGTGAAAAAACAGCATAAATTCCCTATAAGTGACCCGATCATGCTGATTTTCGAACTTGACCTGCGTATTATGAATATTCATCAGTTCTGCAAGTTTCAAATCAAAAGGCAAAATGGTTTTCCACTTATCGTGTTATCGGTAAAAGTGCACGGCGACGGCAACGGCGACGACGGCGACGACAGACGCAGATGATGGCTATATGTACAGACACATCTGTGTCTGTACATAAAAAAACGTGTGCTTCTCATACTTCATGCACTGCAGGCATGCTTTGCCCAATACGGTCAAGCACAATATCTATTTGAACTCAGAACTTCAAACAATGAGAAAATAAAAATGGCCCGGACTTGCATCATTCGACAAGGGAGATAACCTTGCCATGAGTTTACTAGAATACAACCATTCTAACTGTCAACAACAGAAAAAGCAAACTGTTCCAAGCCCCATCTGGCACCCTTCGGGAAGTGGTCATTAAGGTACCGAATTCTTTCCCTAGTTTCAAGATGGTGGCAGCTGTGGCTCCAAGGGGTCAGAGGTGGGTCGTAATGTCCCGTCTGTCGTCCTTTGACACCATGATGACTAAACTGGCTCTGGAACAGTGACAGAAAAACAAAGCAGTTTTCTTAAATCTCGCTGTATGTTATATTATATGAAGAAAATGTAATTAAATAAAAACAGTTTTAATTTACCTTAAATTTCCCCGTTGATTATATTATTAGAAGAGAATGCAGTAAAATAGGTTTGAATTAAGTCTTTTGTGTAAAGATTGTAAAAGGAGCGATTTATTTTCTAAAGGGACAAAAAGTTTTTTGTCTTTGGGACATAGCGTTTTGTCCCTTCATTGGCGTGTCACTGGCTATCTGGTGAAGAGCCAAAATCGTTATCACAGAGGTAAAAATACATTAAACCTTTTACGAATCTTTTGTTTAATTTTTCGACCAAAAAATGCTCCCCTGGAATATAACTCTTATATGTATCTCTTCCCTCTTTCCCTCCCACACTTCTCTTATCGTTTTTCATAGCAAGGGTATTTAATACAGTAGGTTACTTTTCGCGTGGGTGTTTTCATTTATTATCTACTCAATTAGAAAGGCAGACAATATCAGTTGGTATTCTGGATTAAGTTACTGAAGAATAGCATGTCAGCGAGGGGTGAGATAATAATAGCGGTAACGCGAGGAATCAACAGATGAAGTTGGATTTCAAGGATTCTGGGAATCTCTAATCTCTTTGGTATACGATGGATAATGAAAACAATTATCTCCTTCACCAGGGAACGCAAGCAGGGAATCTGAAAAACCGAGACAACTTTGGAGCAAAGCGGATTATATTAGATTGGACAGGGATGAAATAGCATTCAGATCCACTTCTTTGATAAACAGAATTACTGGAAATGCAGTCTAAAAATCTGCAATTTTGTATGTTGAAGGGTTTTATGTGACACATCCTATTGAACGAGTGATAAAAATGAATGCAACGCGCAATACACTTTAATTACTAAATGAATAATTTGAACTCCATTCACACATATCTTTGCATTTCATTATTGTTGGTGTCTTCATGCCCACATTTATTTTAATATTTTACGTTAATTCAAAGTATAATATTCGTATTCTGTTATTTTGCTAACCATGGAATACTATTAAGATTTTTTTTAGCTTAAAAGCAAATTTGTGGCAGGCGACACCTGTTATTTTTGTCTTAAATTTTACGTTTCGCGTCCATTCAAAAGAATGTGCATGAACACGTTCATTATTTATTTCGGCACAAACTGTTTTTCCGTTCATCATACTAGTGCAGTATAATGGGCAGGTAAAGTAAAAATAAAAATCTCTTAGATTACATTTACATTGAACGACCATTTATTGGTTACTGAAGCAAGATGATAATGTACAATGAATCTTTAAAAAACACCCTGAATGCAGACAATATATGAGTTTACGTGTAAAACACTATACAAACAATGAAGCGTTTTCACAAAACATACGTGCATACGCAGCATACGTGTACCACGCATCACATAAATCCTGCAAATGGAACTAATAAGATTATGCAGAATTTTATTATTTTTAATAAAACTGATTTGAATCAAATCTTAGCTTCTTTGTGAGTGTGAGGATGGCAGCATGTTAAATACACAAAAATGACAATGATATTAGCAACTAAATGTACACCACTAAAGATAAATTCACGAAATCGAAACCTGTCTGTAGGTATTAACGAAAGGCAATTCCAGACTTAATCATCCAATATATAAGGTGACCTGCAGGCAAATTAAAAATGCAAAGTTACAGTAGTAGGAATAGTACATATGTACGGTACATGTACAGCCACGTCTAATGTACCCTCTACCAGGTCCGCAGATTAATTAAGTGAACTTTCCTCTATATAAACACAGTGGAAAAATATACCACGAGTTACCCAGAGACATATCTTTGAATAACTGGTGAAAAACTCAACCCGTGTCCCTAATAGAGGGCACGTTAGATACAGGCAAATCTAGATTGCAAGTCTTCTCAGATCGAGGCCCATACAAGCAGGTCCAGACTGCAGGTCAACTACTGAACTAAGAACCCGTTAGGTCGACGTTTAGATTGTAGTTACTAAGTACGCCAGTGTATCTATCTTTATTCACATACAGACAAGTCGAGATTTCAGAGAGAAAGGGCACCCAGTATAGGTCAATTTTCAAACTATAACACATACATGTAAATCTAAGGCAGTGCTTGCTCTACAAGAAGATTTATTCAGACAAACTAATTTGATTTATAGCAAGGCAGTAAGCTCAACAAAATTTCAACCACTACACGCATTAGTCTAAATTTTGTCTTGAAAGTTCGCAGATGTCAAACTACGCTAGTGAAATCTTCTTGTGGAAAGTTTCTGAGTCACATTATTTACCTTAAAATAACATATTTAGCATTCAGGCTACAAATCCCACAGCAATTAAAGTACATGTATTTTGATGTCTGCCTCAGGCACTTGAGAGATATTCAATCCCTTTCTATATCTTTCCTTTTTTGTACACCCAAGTCCGAGTAGGATGGCAAAAAAAAAAATTGTAATAATAATTAAAAAATAAAAGTTTAAAACAATTCAATCTTATCTGTGTAAAATTAAGATTGTACACAATCTAAGAAACCCACCTGAAGTGAGCCAAATCAGGTCCAGGTTTGTCATTGTAAATTAGTACTGGTAACTGCTACTTGTACCAAGCCTGTTAGAGTGTAACATATGAGCTGACTACTTAGCACATTTAGGTCAAGTTCAATACTCAGCACATGTAGGTCAAGGTAAACATAGCACAAACAGATCATAGTCAACCACTGGCCTACAGAATTGCTATACATATCATTAGAGCATGGCCACTACACAGCAAATATAGTTTACAGTCAGTACTGATCATATGTAGGTCAAGGTAACCAAATAGCACAAGTAGGTTCAACTACTTAATGATTAGGCAAGAGCATGAGGATGAAGCTAACTTATCAGCCATTTAAATATGATCTAGAAAACAAGGCCACAACCCGAAATTAGTGGGTCGATTTTGACACTGTTGAAGTACCAGGTATATGAGTGTACATATACCGACGGTACATACACCAAAGTATATATAGAGAGTATAAACACAGGTCTATGGGTTGAGGTTTCCAGTTATTACTGCTGCTATACAGTGCTAGTGGAGCCTGTGGCACTAATAACATTGAATAAAGTTAATGATGACCTGCTGCTGCTGGTACTGAGGCGGTCCTCTTCAGTGATCACCTGGGGGGAAGAGAAAGAGGATTTGCATATCATTAACATATCATTTACATCAGATTTGCATATAATCTGTCATTTAGGGTCCCTCCAAAATAGGGACTAACTAGTCTGAGGGTCAAATTTGGCAACCCACTACAAAGCTTGCCATCTAATCCCCTAATAGACACTGAACAGATATCCCGTGAGGAAGTATTCAAATGGGTTGGCCATGTTTGACACTCAGATCAGTTAGTCCCCTATTCTGGATGAGGCCTTAAATAGTGAAACTGGTTCAATAAGAAGGCTTCTATTAATCTATGTGCTATTAAAGTACTAGTGAGAAACAGGTGACATAAGGCTCTCCCCCCTCCCCCTCCCCACACACAAACACAGACATAAAAAGTTGCTACCAGTATCCTCCATTTCTTACCCTTTCCTGCATAATTTCTGATAACCTGTCCTTCAACTCCTTGAAGCCCTGTTTCAGACTCTCGTGGTACTCATACTGCTCAGAGAGAATTAGACCCGCGTTCAGCTCCACTGCATCTCCGCAGGCCTCAACAAAATGTCTAGAATTGGAAGAATAACAGATTTTCTTCATTAAAAAAAGCAATTATTAATTAAATTATAATTTGTCCTAAATAAAACATTAATTTAACATAACAACTGAAGTAATTTCTATGAATCTGCTAGTGTAACTTGGAACTGTTCTCTGAGCCTTATGATCATACTGTTATCAGATTGTGTAGCCATTTGGCAAATTGATAAATAAATCAACAATTAGATTTATAAATAAATAAATAAATAAATAAATAAATAAATAAATAAATATTAAACTGACCTGTACACATCCTTAAGTTTGTCCACCTTGGACTTTGGACACCTACTCCCTCTTGTTCTGTCCAAAAATGCCTCCGCGTACGCCAACGGCCCCGCGTTCACCTGGACGCTAACGCTGCCCTGGAGCTTGAGCTGCAACTTCTTCAGGTCTGGAGGGTTCAGATTGACTACCTCTCGAAGATCAGCAACTTTGATTTGCATTTCGTCAATGGCAACCTCTATTGGTGAGAGTTCCAGTTCATGGGCGTACGCCACCTGGATGCGTTTCTTGACATAAGGGAATGTATTGTTTGCTAAGAAAAAAAAATGTTTGAGTTTTTAACAATTTAACATTGGTTCAACTGCTTAAACAAAAATATTTTGGTATTTACTAAAATTTCGACAAATTTTCAATCAAAGGCAATGGAAAAATCCTTCATTTAACTCATTAATATTTTTTTTAATGATGTATATTTGAAGTGAAAGTTTCTGAGTCCTGAAATTCTACAAACCCTAAAGAAATCAATTTTACCTCAAGTGAAAATTGACACAGAAATCAAACTCCAAAGTGAATTAAGAAATCCAAAAACGAGAAAATTTCTTGACTGTAAAATTTCAAAGTTCTTGACTGTATTATCTTAATGAATAAATATAATATATATTTAATATTTTGACCAACTTGTGAGTATGGTACGCCTCTTCCACTGTTCCTCAATGGAGCCTCTTGACTTCTTGGGATCTTTTGTAAAAGGAGTCTCAAACATGAATTTTCTGATATTGTTATTCTTTTCAAAGTCTGTTTGCCTGTTTTCTAGCTCTGCTTCATCAAAATAAGGTGTCACATATGTGACTTGGATGTAAGCATATTTGCTATCTAAGTCTTTTGGGTTTACCTGTAGAAAAAAATAGTGTCAAACATCATCATAACCTCTGCTACTGCAGGGTGTTACATATTTTCATTGGTGGACAAATCAAGAATCCGATATTTCAAAAATTTGACCAAATATTCAGGATAGACAGTTCTTAGTAAGTAAGTTAATAAAAACAAATTTCAACTGATTTTAAAAATTTGCCTTTCAAAAAGTAACTTTGGTCTATAATGAAACCCCACAATGTCATATTGACATAGCCCCCTTGAATCAAATCAGTTGCCAAGATGTAGACATACACATGTATCAAGCCCAAAACATTTTATTTTTTCAAACTTTATTAAATGTCCCATATGCACAAGATACCATCACCCATGGAACCTACTTTGTTAGAATCCATGATGAGCTTCACATTTCCTTTGCCGTATTTCTCAGAGTACAGCCCCTTTAACCTCTCGCAGATCTCTGGCAGTCCCGTCACCTTGGGCTCCTTGTAGATATAAACCTTGCCATCCTCTTCTTCAAACAACTGGAAGAATAATGAAAAAGATTGTACAACTATTAACCCTCTACCATGTACATTATCCCTTAGCAAAATAGCAGGCCTGCCACAAACTAAGTCTGCAGTAAATTTGCTGCAATTTTGCTTCAAACTTTCAAACTTTGCTAAGGGATATGTTATATTAGATTGCTAGAACTTTCCTTGTATTGTAAAAAAAATGTTTAATCTTCTTCCACAGAAACTATTGATGCAATGTTTTATACAATACACTTAGATGTTTTAAATTTTTTTAATTATTGGCTAACCGTAAAGAACTTTCCCTGGTAGACTTTCCTTTTCTTAAAGCTCCCAACAAATATCATGAACTTCAAAGCACTGTAAAGACATCACTTCTTTCTTATCTCATATATTATCTGTGATTATTTTCCTTGATATCTGATAACTAACTTACCTGTCCGAAGAACGCCACCCTGAAAAACTTTCCCAGCAGTCTCTTCCCCGTCCGCATGACCTCCACGACCTTGTTGTATGCTGCGCACAGTGTGTCATAACATTCCGCTAACCTCTGGAAACCATAATAAATAAATAAATAATTAAATGAAGGAATTGATATTGTGCCCCCTCCCATATGTGCGGCTATTCCTAGCCAGGTGACCAGTCCATCACTTTAACATTACTACAGACTTGATAATGCCACAGCTTTCACCTGTCATATTGTCTAATGTCTTTTTAAGATTTAAAAAAAACATCATTTAACATGCAACCAGACTTACAGCATAATCTCTTTTGGCCTCGTAGACAGGAATGATGAGTTTATAGAGTTCTCCCAATATCTCGTATCTCTCTGCCTGCTCCATGTGCCTGGCACATGTCTCCAGTATGTCCACCAGTGTGTCCTGTATCACAGGAAATAATAATAATTATTATAATAATAATGATAATAATAATAATAACTGATTATAGTAATGATTATTATCAAGTTTCCAGTATGCCCACCTAACCTCCTGAAACACACGCAAAAAATAAATAAATAAATAAATAAATAAAAATAAAAAAATAATAATATATATAATTCTCCAAAATGTTACTGCAATATAAGAGATGCAAGGGTTATAAAAACAATAATATTTATTATAAATTGTTTTAAACATATTATTTTCTCCATAAATACTAAAACAAGAGAAACAGGTGTATCAACTGGGCTTTGAGGTCACTGGTGCATGTGTAGATCCCCACCCATAGCAGAGAGTGTTATACCCCGTTCACACTACAATCTGAAATATCCGAATTTTTGCAATGCGAATTACGGGTGAAAAATCCGATTCGGTTGTCTGGCCACACACAGCAAAGGGAAACCAAAGAACTGAAAATTCAGGTGGAGGTTCCGGTTTGAAGAATCGCGCATGCGCAGAATCCATGAAAACAAAAATATGTCGCCAATCATTGCTCTTCTCGCACTCAAGTTTTTTTCTCGTGTGTTTGTTTTTGGAACATCAAATTTAACCCAAAAGTCGTCAAAAGGAAGATTTAAGTAAGATCTGGAAGAATTTGACGGATACAAGAAGGAGAATAGCTGGGTTTCAATGGAGAGTGTGGGTCCACAGACCTGGCATGTTGCTTTTCTTTCCCGCGAGATTTGCTAGTGCATGCGCAGTGCGATCTAAACAGGTGGCCCTTCCGGTAAAGTAACCGAATCGCTGGAGAGAATCCAGCTCACTAGTAGGATTTTTGGAAACCGGTTTACAAAAATCCTCATGCGTTCAGACTACCGCAATAATTCGAATCTTGACCTAATTCGTTATTTAACCGGTTAAATGACTGCAGTGTGAACGGGGTATTAAACACCATGAATATCATCTCTGCTATACTACAGAATGCAATGGCCAGATACCTTCTAGCTTGAACCCCTGAAGTGATCAAATACACAGAAGATGATTTATAATGACATTTTTATCATTTTAGCATGCAAAAAATAGCATTCCCTTTTAATATTTATTAAAAACAATGATAAGGAAGCTGGGGGGGCTAAAGTGTCTGTGAACTTTCTTACCACTGAGTACTGTACGTCTTGCATGCCCGTGTCATCTTTGATGTCATACTCTTCCTCAGAGACATTGGCAGTGATTCTCTTGAACACCCCACAGCCTTCTGGGTAAATTTCTGAAACACATCGAAACATTAGATTAACTTCTTATATAATTCAACTGTGGAAATAAAATAGTTAAAAGTGCCTTGTTAGTAATTCCTCCTTTTATTTTTCTTATTCACCCCTCATCCTAACTAAAATGGCTTGGACCATTTCGCCAGTAAAATACTGATCTCTCTCTCCATCTTCTATCTTTTTAGTTATTGGGCTTTTAAAATACAAATAAGACCTTCCATCAACTCAAGGTAACCAAGTAATTGAACATATTTCAATCATCTCCATATTCAATACATCTTATTTCAAATTTAGGATAAAAGGAACATTTTTTTTTCATGCAACAGGAGGTGGGTGTACACAATCCAAGACCTAAATATTTCCATGCTTGCATTGTTCTTGTTTTTGCAAACATGATTCAGGTGGGGGTGGGGGTGGGAGAGGGATACAAAATAACCCTTAAAAGGGGTGCAAAACCAAATCCATCAACATCAACAACCAAAACCAAATAGAGCATTCCAAAAATATACATCTAGTCAAAAATCGCTGAAAAAAAAAAATTTAATGGGTCTGCAAAAATACAAACATGGGTAAATGATATGAACTTATTAAACTCACTGTCCAGCCAATTTATATGGTACGTATACTTAAAAATAAATGCACCTTTAAGACATAAACATGTACTTACAAAACATCACAATAGATGCAAAGCAGGAATAGGGGTACATGTACAGCATTTCTACTGAACTGTATATTCCAGGGGGAAAAACATGCAATGAGGGATACATATATAGCAATTCTACAACACTGTACAAAAATATATACTATATACACTACAAAAGTTGCGTATATGTAAAATAATTTACACAGACAACGTGAATATTGATACACTATTTCATTTAATTTAGCAAATGTATTTAAACTTTATAAAATCTGATGATCCGAATCGTTCAACATAAATATAAAGCCCCTCCAAGGAAGGGGAAAAAAGCTTAGAGTTAGATTTGCTCTAAGAAGCATGCAAAATGTGGTATTTGATTTTCATTTTGGGCAAATATTCATGCATTTTGCAGTTAGAATATTAAGCTTTCAAATTTATATCAGTTGAACTTATTAGGAAAACCCAAAACATGCATCATTTTATATCATTAAACTATGTCTTGTTCATTTAATTAGGAAGTTGTACAGTGAGTACTACTTAAAACATGCACATAAAAAGATTTCACAATACAGATTTTACATTTGACTACAATAACAATTCAAATTTCTTTTTTTAACTTGTTAAGTTGATCATGTGTTAATCGAAAAAAAAAAAAAAACAAGCTTTTTGTAGTTGTAGAGCATTGAGAATTGTGCAAATCTCTAAATATAAAATAATGATATCATTACATTTGTTTTTTTTTTTTTTTAATTTTTTTAAGTATCTAACATTACAGGTATTGTGCAAGCATAATTATTTGAAAAATTATTTAAACATGAAGCACAACAATCAACATTTTTTTCAGATAAGAAAGCAAAACATCACAACAAACACAATATTAGCATATATTGAGTACTGCAAAACACAATATCACAACCATCACAAATAAAAAGGAATAATAGCCCAACAACTCAGGTTCACAGTTTAAATTCAGTTCTTCAATGTCAAGATCAGAGGAAAATGTTTTCAAAAGTATTTTCTTCCAAGCAATAGACTATATACAAATCAAAGCATTCGTTTGTCAAAATGAAAATGTTTAAGCTTAAATATCATATATTTGAGCATGCCTTTCATGAATCATTGCCTATTCCCCCCTCCCATCTCTTAAGCAGCATTCAAATCATTTCTCATAGAAAAGTCTTAGATCTCACTTTGGAAAGGTGAAGCTCAATTTGCAGTCCCACGCTGTGTATAACTCTACTGTGATTACACACAGTCACTGTGATGGTTTTAGTGAAATTATACACAGTGAGGGTTTGCAATCAAGCTTCTCTCCCTTAAATAAAAACTAAAACTATTTTTTTCATAAAGTGATCTTAATGCAGCTTTATCCTATATCTTCCCAGTACTAATCAAGATCCGTGATCAAACTCACACCTTGTAACATCATTAAATAGATGATCTTATAATATTAACCAATGATTTCCAAAGAGCAGATCTCCTCCAAGGTGTATTATGGACATGAAACATTTAGAAATCTGAACTGCTTCAACATTATGTTTAATTGTTAAAAAAAAAAACTCAGAGGTGGATAATAAGGCACCAATGAAGGGTAAGGACCCAGTCCTTATAGCTGCCAAGTATTGAACTAGTAACAAACTTTTTAGCCTGCTAGCCTTTTGGTAAGCCAGGGCTTAAGAATCAACTAGCCGAAACAGAAACAGTGGACAGTTAACGAGCAAGTTTTAATACTGGCCTGCCCTAATTTACCCACTTTAAAAGGGGCAGTGGTTAATATGTTATATGGAATGATATAGAATATCAAAACCTACAGCATCTAAAGAATTTTGGATTTGGGTAAATTCAGTGAATATTCAGCATGTTTAATTTTTTAAAAGAAAAATAAAATAATGCAAATTATAAATCCTGATCCCATACTGTTGTAAAAAACTAAAGGGTCCACCACCAGATAATGTCTTGAAGGAAATATGTACCAATTGTTTGTTTGATCAAAACATATTAAGTATATTTGTCTTGTCATACCAATTCAAATTATACCAATAATAAAAATCAGGAGAGTTAATTTGCACTAAGAATGCAGCTTTGAGTAATTTTGGTATTAACGATAATTAACCTTTTTTTAAAGAGGAAAATCAAATGATGTTTTGAAGCATTTTGCTTGCAAAGTGGTACAACATATTTTTTACTCTTTTCAGATGCAGTAAGTCAGCATACCTCAATCTCCGAAACCTGATACTAAATAAGTTCTTGGTCAAGAAAAGAGGAAATTAAAGGTTATAAAACTGCCTATTATTTTCAGACTTGAGACATAACTTTTGAACTTTATTATATATATTTAAAAAAAATAAAAATAAAAAAATGAAAAAAGCCCAACATTACTCAAATCAAAACACCCTTTATGAATGCAACTCCCCTGATTTTTAAAAAACAAAACCTACAAAACCAGCTACCACTACAACAACTACTGATAAGGTCCACATATACAAGTTATACAATTAACGACTACTGCAGGCGGACAGGAAGTTCAAGCTGATAGATAGGTGGCAGCACCATATAGCACTTACTCCGTAGCTTTCCTGACACAGCGAAGAAAAAGACAAACAAGAACACAAAACATATAAATTGTGAACGCTTTAAATATCTTAACAAGTAGGTATCCATAGTGCTCACTCATGTGCGCACGCACGCACACACACACACACACACACACAAACAGGGACTGTCAAGATATGCTTGATATACAGAGTATAACTGATATATTTTCCAGTTTATTTTTTTGCACATTCAGCACTGCAGTACAAGTAAAATATCTAAACTGAGGTTTTAATACATGTATATCCCTTTTGAAAGATTCAAATGCTGAGATTTAAATTTTTAAAGTGCTTGAAATTGAAGAAAAATATAAATATTGATATAAAATGTAAGTAAGAAAGTATGACAATAAATAGTATGATAAAATTGTTACTCAAATATGCCCACGACAAGACAATCTCTCAGATAAGTTAAATTAATGATCAATCAAATTCTTCATATTCAATATGTGACTATATACTGCAACAATAAAATTTGCCATATATATATATATGTAATTAATGTCTAAAATATAAGGAGTGCATGTATGTCTTTCAAAGCATTACACATGTACATACATGTTCTGTATTTAAAAAACTTTCAGATTGCAGATTTTATGCAAAACTTCCTTTGGACTTGAGAAAAAAGTTTCAAATATCACCCATTTCAAAAGTGAAAACATCAGACAGTAGTATCTTTCACATTCAACTTCCTTTGTGTTTTGAAAAATCAATATAAGAAGTAAATGTGAAAATATAGTGAACAAACATACCTCTTCTTTTCAAGTATTCTGCAACTAGAGCGGCAATGTGGAGATAGCAATATGCAGCCTGAAAGAAAGTAGTACGCAAATTTTTCTTATTTCTAGTAATTTAAAATCTGTTTATTTCTTTGTACTGCTGCATACTGTATTTTAATGTGCCCCATTTCATTTCTTTGATAATCATATTAAAAAGCGTGCATACCCCCCCCCCCCCCCTTTGCAATCTGCCTTGAATTGTAAAATCATTATCATTTTACTTGATAAAACAGCATGACTTGCTCTGGGGCATTTCAGGGGCGGATCCAGAGATATTTTCTGACAGTCTTCCAAATTATCTTTGTTGATCCAACCTCCATTTTTGACCGTCTTCCGACAGAAAAAAATAGATACCCGTCAATGTAAACTTGAAAATCTGACGGTCTTCCGGAAGACCCAGAAGACGGCCTAAATCCGCCCCTGCATTTGGTCTAAGCTTGTGAAGTTAATTCGATATGAAGTATAATCCAAAAAGGCAGATAATGGAGTTCAAGATAAAAATGTGATGACAATCTATTTGGAACGTAAGAGGGTTCCATCACCACAATTTATCTTCTCTGCCCATTAACAAAACAAAACTCTATTGGTCACTGACCTCAGAATAATTCATATGCCGAACATGTATTTTAGCCATGTTTTCTAGCCATGTTTTCCTGAGTTCGGGCGTGGCAGCGTAGGACTTGGCCAGGCTGTACTGAAGGTCCACCAACATTTCCGGGTCATTCTGGTGCTCCTTCATCTGTGCCGTCGCCATCAGCACAGTCCTGATCCGCTTGGTCAGATCTTTAACCTCGGCAGGGAAGTTGGTTCTCTATAAACGGAAAAGTTTGAGCTAAAAATTGTAATTATGCTTTGGTATTGACCTCGTAAAAGTCTCTGAACATTTAACTTCTGTATGAACAATTACTTCTTCAGAGACAAAATAGGACTGGCTGCAGCCATTTGGTTAGCATTTGATTGCCCTCTCCCCCCTCCACCACTCTACCAGTACAAAATTTCAACATAGGACAACCTAAATGACACTGTCCACAATCTTTTTAAAACAACTCATTTCTACGTGGGTCATGACCTACGTTTACTTCAGACTTGGCCCTTATACACTGTACTTGATCCATCACTGTTTGTGACCACAAAAAAGTTTTTGCCTTTGGAACCATGGTTTGATCATTATTCATAATTTGTCATTTGTTTTCTCAAAATGTCAGACCTAAGGGCAAGAGCATCTACAGCTATTACATTAACATTGATAGTTTATTTAGCTGAATGAAAGTAGTACTTAAACTGGCTAATGAAAATTAACTTTTTTTTTTTTTTTTTTTTTTTGGGGGGGGATGTTTATATTTACCTTGATTTGTTTAACATTTTATTTTTGCTGAATTATTCATCCTTTTGACTAAAATAATTTGTATCGAAAAGGCTAGATAGTCACTCTTTATGATTGTCCATTCCATGCAGTTGAAAAGAAAACAGACAATATGTGCCACATCAATTTCCATTCTTAATGTTATATCATATGCATATTTTTACATTAACAACGACTATAACCCTGACCCAATTAAATACTTCACACTTGCATCTCTAACACAAACTTTCACACAGAGAACTGAAATCAATAAAAGCTGAATGGAAGAAATACACCATGAAGAATTGCACAAAATATTCAATAAGAACATCTTATTCAGCTGGTAAAACAAAATCTATACCCTCTGCAACATGTGTGTCATTCACAAAAATGGCACTTCATATCCGCAAGTACATAACTTACAGTGTAGCCCTCTTGAATGTAATTCAAATACCCTGGCACAGAAAGGCAATATTTTAAACTTTTTTTATTTGGCAACTGATTCTAAATGCACCTTGGATTAAATAGTGAATATTACTCACTTCATGCCAAAGATTTAGTATCATATTAATCAATCTAGCAAGGCTTATAGATCAAGAAAAGAAAGGCTGCATTTTTCTCACATTACTTAGTTTTTCCCCTGCTCATTATTGACAAATAAGAAACAAAATTTCTTTCTATCAATTATCAAACAAAAAACCCAACACTTTTTCTCCCTCCGTTCACAGATAAGAAGGAAAAGTCTTAACAGCTTATATACCAGTCCCCTACTCCCCTCATACACTGTACATGTGCATATATTCCAGTATACATCTTCCTATATGCCAATACCTAAAGACAGTGTTTAATTAATGAGAATTCAATGCAGAGGGAAAGGGGGGGGGAGGGGTTGGGTATAAATTCTAACACCACTTGTAATATTTGGAAGGTTGGGGCTTGTAAACTCTAATCTCAGAGTTGGGAAGGGAAGGGGGGCGGGGGAGGGCAAGTAAGATGGTCAGAGATGCAGCTGGTAGGTGATGAATGATACTATACTGTAGTTCACAAGCAGTATAAGAAAATTGGATGGAAAAGTATTTATGTGTGTGCATGCTTGTGTGTGTTTTCGCCTGCATACGTGTCTTTGAGTATTTACTAAAGATTTACATTCTTATGAACTTTTCCAATAATAACAAGAGTTTGGAGCAATACTTATATGTAGATACTTACAAAAATCACATGCACTTTTATACACTTACATGTATATCCTACAGCCTACAGCAGCATATAGACCCTTCATGTCTTCCCAACCACCACATTATTACTGTTATTTACAATACAGTATTATATAAGATCAGTATCCCCCTCAGTGAGCAAATATTTACTGTGGACTAGTTACTGCTGTCTGTTGTCCCATATACCCTGTACTGCCTAGTGTGTTATACTCCAACTATAGAGGGTGAATTGCAAATAAACTGATTGCAATCATGCTTAGGATGGCAATCATGCTGAGGATTGCAATCAAGCATCTACACCATAATATCTGAACTACTAGTGGTATAGTAATTTTAGCTTAAATTTTTTTCTGAATGCAACCTAAGTCTCCCCCCCCTCCCCTGGTTACAGAACACATGTACCAAAATATGAACTATAAATGAACAAAGAGTGTACACAACTGGTTCAAAATTGCCTACCTTTTTTTTCTACCTTCCTTTGTTTTGACTGCCAAAAAGTGTTATTCAAATCATCTCATTTTTAAGCTGTGCCTCAAATAAGTTCCATGTCAAATGTGTGTAGCACCCTCGTCATTGAATTCTCTGTATTATTACTTCAAATTATCTTTTTCTAATATTTCACTCTTTCAAGATTTGTCACGAAAATGTTATTTTTAACAAGAAACCAACTCTCTTTTCCAAACTTTTTAATCAACACTTCAATTTATTAATGAAATCCATTCTCTGAGGGGAAAGGGACTTTTTATTCATGTGCAAATTTATTGAGTAATTACCATATTATGCAAACTGCCTTTAATCAGATGTTTTAAGCAGACTGTCACCTGTAGACAGGGACCCTCCCTTGATCCTCAATAACCATTTAACCTTCAGTTCATACATTGTCTGAAGATACGCACAGGATGCTCCGTGTGTTAAACTGGTGCATTGCATAAGTGAAGAAATTATCATTTGTCACTGCTTTGTTGGTGGAGGGTGCATGTGCATTATATATTTAACAAAGTCACAACCCATCCTGTGGAGACTTTCCATTGTATAATAAGGGGTGGGGGGTGGGGGTAGGGGTGAGGGTGGGGATGGGGTCAAGGAGTGCAGGTTGGAACAGTTGTATATATATATATATATATATATATATATATATATATATAGTTGGATATATCCATTGGATTATAGGTCACATAAAGCTTGCCCTCATGTGAACATGATATTAAAATGCATCATAACTTAAAATCCCCCCATCCCCCCCCATCCCATCCTACATGTCCCATTTTTACCTGCATGCATTTTTACTTTCCTGCATGAATGTATATGCCTGCACCCCTACAAAAACAACTATTTACAAGGAAGTTTTTAGGGTTGTTTTGCTCATGCATCTCCCAAATACAGAATACGTTCCCCAATTCTTACTGTGCCTTTATATACATTGTGCATATTATGTACAAAAACGTGTGTGTGTGTGTGTGTGTGTGTGTGTGTGTGTATGTGTGTGTCAACTAGTATGAACCCTATCCACTGAACCTTCATGTACAAATATACCACACTATACACCCATTCTCCTATACACCTCTACACTACATCACTACATCCATTCTCCTATATACCTCTACACTACATCCATTCTCCTATATACCTCCTTACTACAAAGTACCACTTGCTTATAATTACATGTACATACACAACAGACACATCTGTAAGCCTAACCTATACATGTGTACAGTCTAACCTATATATGTGTACAGTCTTCTACCATTATTCCCCTACCTTCTCACTCCTGTGGTCTCTCCTCCCTAGCTATTGCATCTCTACTACATTTGTATGTGAGAACCCCACCACCAACTTGTTTGCATAACAAACAACCCCAGTTTTGTGCTGCAGCCGAAAACTTCACATTTGGCCTTTCTGTTTGTCTGTTCAATAATGTAACTGCCTGTGTACTATAAAGTGCTTAAATATTTCTGTTGTTATTGAATGGGGGATCGAGTCCTGATAAAACGGGTCTCTTTTTAATATCACATGGGATTTATTGAAATGAGCGTATGACATATTATAAATGAGACCAGGAGTCTGATACATAAAAATTAAGTCTAAGGTCAGTTTTGGAGCTAAAATTTTAGCCTAGTTAGACTTGGCTGACAAAGTTGGATTTTAGAAATAAGTTAAAAGTTTGCATACCTTGTTTTTGATATATTTCAATTGACGCCCCTTACAAACTGAGATATTTAATCTCAGCAATAACAGCAGCCCATTTAGGTATGTCAAATACACCTGTTCTGGGTCAATGTTTCTTCAGAGCTTTCAGACCAATATCACAAAATAGTAGTGGGTTATCAGACTTTTGCAATCTGGGTTTAGTCCAAGAACTTAAGATTCACTGCTTCTTCAGAGGACTTCTCCTTAATGCCATAATAATGGAACTCCAATCTGTTATCACGTATATACATAATTCTACCCAGCCTGTATCAACTAATAAATGGGTAATACATCTTATACAGACTGCATTTCTTTACATTCATGTATCTAAGCTTTGTTTGGGATAATGTACCTTATTCTTAGATATGTAGCATAGCATGTTAGAAAGAAAGAAAGGCATTTTCCCCATTTAAATTAACAAGCTTTCTCTTTACTTCCTGGTCGCAAAAACTTCTCCTATATCTGTGACCTCTGTTTACATGTTGCCATGGCAGCAAAGTCCTCCAGTGCTGCAGGATGCCTTTTATCTAGGCTAAGATTAAAAACTAATTTCACATCCACAATAATGTTATCTGACTCTTGAAATGAGGAAATGATGGTATTTTCATTGTAATGTAATTGTATTAGATTAAGTAGGTTAATGTAGGTAATTAGTTTTTCATGCATTAAGTGTTAACCTTTCTTCTTTTCCTTCTACAGGCCACTGGATGGCAACCTCAAACCCAGATTTAAGCATTTTCTGACAGAGCTATTAACAATCTTTCAAAAATAACCATTACTAATTTGAAACAAATTTTACTGTACTAAATATGAGATTAACATTTATATAAAGTACATTTTCAATAAAATATATATAGGTATCACACACATTGCTCTGTGAGAGCATGTGTGCTTTCCATTCATAAACTCTGAAAATAATCTCTTTGACAGAAACCTTTATGAACAACATTTATGAATTCTTTCAGCATGATCACTTCACAAATCATACCACATCACCACAATATAAGAAATACATGTGCAAAGAGAATACACCATAGCTGTTCAAGTCGTGTTTCCATTCAGGCTGATTCAACCTTACTCAGTGTGACCCATCTCAGTTGGCTTCTGATTGGCTGACCATAAGAAACAATCTGACAACATATAGAATACCTCATGGTCAGTTATGACAGGGATGTGTGGGGTGGGGGTGAGGGTTGAAAAGATGTGGGGGCTGAAAGGGAGGTTAAGAACTAAATTGAAGTGAAAATGCCTTCTTTTGGGCAGAATCCAATCATAAGGCCCGATAGGAAAAAGTAATAAGTTACAATGTTCCATATTGACTGGAAACACGCCTTTGGTCAAGAAACAAAGTGATAGCATTGACCCAAATGTGGTCATAAAACAGCCAGTTCAGACAAGATATAACATAAAATGGTGACAAGTCTAAAGAGTGCCACCCAGCAACCACATAGTAAATCAATCAATCTGGGATTCAAACTTAGATGTCTGAGACACCAGGGGGATTTTAAGCAGAAAGAGGGGTTATGAGAGACCCCCACTGTGCCTCAGACATCTAAATCAAGTCCTAGTACAATAATTCTGATTGTCATTTTAAAAGGCATTTTAGACTCGCTCCTTCCCCCCACCCCCACCTATACCCTTTTATTAAGTAAGATATCATATCATCATCTGATTAGTTCAGAAGAGAGTAAAAACATCAAAACTATGATGAAAAGACTGAGAAACAAAGTCAGCTATTAATGGTAGTAAGTATCCTTTCCCAAAGTATTAAAATAATTGTGGTGCAAAATTGAATATGTTTCAAGGTAAGAAAAAGATACATGCCATGAGTATACCAATCCTCCATGATTTTTCTACCACTATTTTATACTCTAAATAGGCAACAGAGTTTTTTCAATTTGAAATTTAACAACAAACATGCAAAAGATTTTTTCTGTCTTAATGACAACTTAACCAAGATTACCAACTGTAAACTCTTTCCACCAACACCTGTTTTAATTCATCTTTCATTTGTTTCGTTTTCAGCTGTTAATTCCATCGTTAAGAGAATGATTAACAGTAAATGTCTACAATTTTGAGAACTAAAATGTTGGCAACTCTAAGGGTACATTCACAATGAAGATATCGTACTAGCTGCTGTGCGCTAACTCCATGGAGACTCTCACTGAACGCAATCAGTTTAACAGGCTAAAATGCATGTTAGTCTGTTAATCTAATTGCATGCAGCAAGAGCTTCCATGGAGTTAATGCAGAGTAGCTAATAAGGTGGATTCATTGTGAAAGCACCCTTAGATCCTGACCTTTACTAGGTTCTATGCATGGAGGTTATTTTTTCTCAGTTAAAATCTCATTAATCGTTGTCATATTCCAATTTGTTAAATAAGCAAAAATAAATAAAAGTTATTATAGAAAAATAAAACTTAAAAGGAAGTTTGAAAGCAATAACTAAATTTGAAAAAAGCACTGGGAAAAAAGTTAGAAAAGAAATTGTATTTTGAACAGATGCAAATGAGAGTACTTCAAAAATACCTCGCTGGTAATTTAGATAGGAATGAAAAATAGAAGTTAACCGATTAATGAGATTCTATTATGTTGTGCTGTGCAGAAGTAGACAAAATAAAATAATTGATCTTACCATCCTCACTGCTATTGGGCCCTGGGATAAAGTGGTAAAAAATAGACGGTGAAACAAAACAAAAATGTTCAAAGATGTAAAAATACACACACAAAAAAATAGAATCACAAAAATAAAACATTTTACCTGTTTCTCCTGGAACTCCAAATTAAGCATCTCCAGTCAAAGTCAAACAAAATAAAATCAACAAAATGCAAACATATTTACACATCAAGTGTTAGTAAGAGTCAACACACTAACTCCTTCTTTTACCTGTCTTTCTTGTCTGGCCCAAAACTGGCGTCATAATCAAAAAGAAAAAATTGGGTATCAAATCCATGCAAATATGTATAACAGCATAAGGTTTTACTGGTATACTTAATAGGTCTCAACAACTCTCAGGTCTAGCAGTGTACCATGCTGATATCGAATACTAAATGCACATATATATATATATGAGTACACGTTTGTAACATACTTTGAGAGGCAACTGTAAAACCTTTAAATCCTGCAGTTTATCAATTTTCTGGAAAAAAGCTTCATTTGTTCAAGTTGCACGTACACTAATGAGAATGAAGAATTGGGTCACTGATAGTATAATTATAGTATCAATTACTCTTTTGTAATTCAGATATTGTTAATCTTTCACAAAAATTGTGCTTCACTAAACTACTTCAGTGTAGAAAAAAATGAAAATTATAAGTTTTACAGCATCTCGCCAAAGCTTGCCATGCACATGTCTGTAAATGACTGATATACAATCCCGTACACAATAAATATAACCCACATACATACACACATACATCTATGTGCTGGTGGTAGCTGAACAAAATGCACTGCACAGGGAAAGACAAAAGGAATGCATTTCACTGAGCTTGTGTACAATTTATGCATATGTCTGTATATGAAAGCATATACATGTTTGCGTGCATGTGTGTGTGTGTTTCTAGGTGCAAGCATGCATACTTAAATATTTACAAGTCTGCATTCTGGGATATGTGCATGCATGAAGGCAGAAACTATACCTTTACATTTGCAAAAAATTAATTTTCAACAAAATAAATGAATAAATAAATAAAAAATTCTTAGCCATCATTCAATTCCCATATTGGATGTATCATTTTCTCTTTGGCACAAATCTATCACTACCCAGGCAGAAAATATTTCTATATCTTCTAAGCAGTTGCTCAGGTATCTGAGGCGGTTACGGTGAATATCTCACAGGTCACTATGTTGATTGATGTTCATATCTGCAGGGTATCACGTACTGGTAAAGTTCACTTGAGGGAGCCACAATATAGATAAATTCCATATCAGTTTTTTTTTTTTAATTTTTTTTGGTGTTTAATTAAGTCTTTTGGTGTTTAATTAAGTATCAGTATAAAAATCATTTGCACCGCTTCAGATTTTATAGTAAATAAATATTATCATATTCCTTTTAATATGTGTGCTTACAAGCCAAGGACCCCTTTTTCTTTACTTCTTTTATTTCAAAATGATGAAAAACATAATAAAATCATTATTAGATAGGGCCAAAAACCCCTCCAATTTCACTAATAACTGGACCACTTCCTCCTGCACCAGAAGAGAGCTTAAAAACCAGGACTCCAATTCCTACAGCCATTTTTCACTCTTAATCTTGATCCCAATAACAGTTCTTAGATATTAACCTTTACCTCTTGCCATATGAAACTACCACTTGCTACAATCTACGAGATGTAATGGCCATAAACCATGGTGAAACATGGGCCATAGATACAGAGGTTCATCATCTGATCATGGCAAACCCCATGTGCAGATTCTGTTGTTTGCAATCATGACTGACCCCAACTGGTTAAAAAGTTTACCAGATTTCCTTTGTAAATCATGTGCAAGTAACCTTTTTTTTGNTAGCTGAACAAAATGCACTGCACAGGGAAAGACAAAAGGAATGCATTTCACTGAGCTTGTGTACAATTTATGCATATGTCTGTATATGAAAGCATATACATGTTTGCGTGCATGTGTGTGTGTGTTTCTAGGTGCAAGCATGCATACTTAAATATTTACAAGTCTGCATTCTGGGATATGTGCATGCATGAAGGCAGAAACTATACCTTTACATTTGCAAAAAATTAATTTTCAACAAAATAAATGAATAAATAAATAAAAAATTCTTAGCCATCATTCAATTCCCATATTGGATGTATCATTTTCTCTTTGGCACAAATCTATCACTACCCAGGCAGAAAATATTTCTATATCTTCTAAGCAGTTGCTCAGGTATCTGAGGCGGTTACGGTGAATATCTCACAGGTCACTATGTTGATTGATGTTCATATCTGCAGGGTATCACGTACTGGTAAAGTTCACTTGAGGGAGCCACAATATAGATAAATTCCATATCAGTTTTTTTTTTTTAATTTTTTTTGGTGTTTAATTAAGTCTTTTGGTGTTTAATTAAGTATCAGTATAAAAATCATTTGCACCGCTTCAGATTTTATAGTAAATAAATATTATCATATTCCTTTTAATATGTGTGCTTACAAGCCAAGGACCCCTTTTTCTTTACTTCTTTTATTTCAAAATGATGAAAAACATAATAAAATCATTATTAGATAGGGCCAAAAACCCCTCCAATTTCACTAATAACTGGACCACTTCCTCCTGCACCAGAAGAGAGCTTAAAAACCAGGACTCCAATTCCTACAGCCATTTTTCACTCTTAATCTTGATCCCAATAACAGTTCTTAGATATTAACCTTTACCTCTTGCCATATGAAACTACCACTTGCTACAATCTACGAGATGTAATGGCCATAAACCATGGTGAAACATGGGCCATAGATACAGAGGTTCATCATCTGATCATGGCAAACCCCATGTGCAGATTCTGTTGTTTGCAATCATGACTGACCCCAACTGGTTAAAAAGTTTACCAGATTTCCTTTGTAAATCATGTGCAAGTAACCTTTTTTTTATTATATGATGTAAAATCTTAGCAAACATGACTTATAAAGAAACACTATAATCTGATCATGTTTACCCACACACTAATAAATGTGGAAAACTTTATTACTAAAAAAATCTAAAATTTCAAATATCTTTAAATCACATTAAAGTGGAACGGGTATAATGTGAAAATATTTTTGTAGACACAAGTAAAATGAAATGAAAGAAATGAAAGCTTGGCTAATATCTGCAGAAATAACTTCTTGAGAACATGCTTAAATATCACATACCCCATAAGCAGATATTGCAGCCTAAAACAATATATTTGATCCTGTTCTTAAACCAGTTGCAGAGATACTACTAGTTATATAAATGCCTAAAAACAGATACTGACAATTTTTTCTTACCATGACTGTCCCATCTAGGATAGAACATCATTTGATCTTGACAAACCACATGGTAATGTAGAGGCTGTTATACAGTATCTTTTACAGCTTTTTTAAATTCAAAGCACCTGTTTATATTGCATTTATAGCACTGAACAAACTTGGTCAATTTATCAGTTTAAAACAAATATATTTAAAATACTTCATACATATATAGCTTCAAGCCTCATTCATCAAAAGCAGAAATGAGGATAGCAAGGGGTAAAATATTGCTGAAATTATCAACGAGTTCAGGAGAAAGCTATATCATATGGCACATTGCAATGGGTCCTAAGCAAAAGGTCCCTTCTCCCACCCCTGCTGAACCTCTGAATACAGTAATGGTTCAATAACTTTGAACCAATTAGATTAATCATTTTACCAAGGTTGCTTTTTTTAAATATAAAATATTTAAATGAAGTTTTGGAGGTGTCATATGCATATGTTTGTGTCAGGGAGTACATATCTGTTAGCAACTTTAAAACTATTACACATAAAATGAAGAATTTTTAAAACGTGTATGTGAGCTGTGTGAAACTGAGAGCAATTAACATACTGCGAAACTGAAATGAGATCATAAAAGTAAAATGGCGGCTTCTTACCTGCATTGCCTTATCACTGTTGGCGTAGCTGTTGATGATGGACAGACTCTCCTGAAACCTGGTTCCTGCCAACCCCACTACCTCTCCCAGGAGTTGGGACACATTGATGATTACCTGGACATAGAATCATTATACTCATGTAAAGTTACGGACACAACAATATTACGGACACAAAAAATTACGGACACAACCTTTCCCCACTTTATATTAGTTTTACAATCCAACATGTATTTGATGCAAAATAATGAATGTAAGAGTATTATGCACCCAAGCTTGGGAAACTTTGGTTCTAAATTCATTCAAAAAGTTTCCAAAATTTAGTTCACAAAACACCACCCATTCACCCTGATGCTACAGAGAAAAGAATTTGTTGAATTATCTCATTAAAAGCAATGTGGTTGTGCCAATTGTTTCTCAATGAACACAATCATAAAGCATTAGACTGACCTGCAAATGCACCCTTGTGAAACTCTTTCTCTTCATGAATTCAAAGTTGGCCTTCATGAGAAGGTATAACAGAGCACAGGATTCATTCCTGGTGGACTTTAGGCGAGAGTTGCAACCTCTCAGCAGCTGAAATTTTAGTTTGCATAAAAAAATTTGTACTTTGAATCTTAAATTAGTACTTAATGTATGTCAGCATGCATTTCTATTAAATACTCAGTTTAAATTCTAAATTCCTTTAAGTCATTTAATCATTTACAAATCTAAATTTCCAGGTGTTCAATATTTCATTGAATTTGTATTGTAAATATATAACCAAGTTTTGGGTTGTAATTTATATAAGAAAAAAATGTATATATTATTTTAAACAAAATATTTTCACATAAAATAGCTCACTAATAAGTGACAACAAAATTGATTGATTTTATTCATTTAACAGATGTCTTACTGTGTATGTAGGTGTCATTATTACCTACCTCATAACACATATTACTGCAAAGTATGGCATGTCCCTTGAATAGCACCTTTGGAAACTGAAGTAAAATGAGGAAAGCATTGTAGCTTAACCTTTTTTTCTTGATACATAAGTTTAATGGTTATAATTATTATTTACAATTTTCAAACAAAATTTCAAAATTAATATTTTATCTCAGTTATTATAAAATCACTGCACATTGGAACCAAACACACTAATTGAAAAAAATGAATTGCCTGCAAAACATTCCAAAAAATATGATAAAATATTGTTCAAATTTGATTAAAATTACCATATCTTATTGTTGAATTTTTGTGAAAAAAACAACTTTTACATATTATTCTCACTACTGCTCATGTCTTAATTTCAGCTATGCTTACCTTATGAACAAATAGCCTGAGAGCGGCAAAAGCATGTTTGAGCAAGGCTTCTGATTGGCTGGTTTGGAGGAACATCATGTACAGATCGAATATCTTCCTCATCACAGTATTGTCACCATCTTTGAACTCCAACTGGGCCTGGAATGAAAAAAATATTTGAAATATAAAAACAAAAATCATAAAAGACTGCAAAACTGTGAGAAAAAAATAATAAAAAGATGAAACAATCATTAATTGGTACTGTCACTTTTATTAAATTATTTCAGTTAGGATATAGTGAAAAACCTTTTATTAAATTATTTCAGTTAGGATATAGTGAAAAACCTAAGTTTTTCTAATTATAATGAACCATATACTTTACCAAAGTTCAGAAGTTTAATACCAAGGCAATTATCTTTAAAATTTGATTTATAAGCTGTTCAATTCATACCTGTAAGAATATACTAATAGGAATACCATTAGGACTAAGACTGTAATGTTTTTAATGAAAATATTGGCCAAACCCCACCTTGAACTGGTGGCTGTACTGAGTTATAACATCCAGTACTGTCAGTCCTATCTCTACAGCTAGGCTGGCCTCCTGATTGGCGCGGGACAGAGTATCAGCATCAGAACCACTGGGAGCTGGAGGAAAGAAGGACAGAAGGTCAAGGTTAACCACAAGGTCAAGGTCATCATAGGGAGTATGTTCACAAATGTGTCAAGGTCATCAAAGTGTAAAGCGTTAATTAAATTGGCCAATCACACACACAAACACACACAAACACCCACACTATACATATTTTTGCTAAAGTTTTTTCAGCCTTTTTCATAGGCAGACTTTTTTTCAACAGGTTTCAAATATTGGATTAGTGTAGGTAGACTTTGTAACTGATATAAATGAGCACACTTACAGCTGAACCCGTCCATGCTGACCTCCCCATAGGCACTGGCTGCGCGGGCATGCATCATCAAACCTCCTTTGCCCCGCCCAGTTGGCATCGTGAGCGCCTTTCGACTGTCGCCTATCATGCTGAGAATGGAACATGAGAGAATTTATGACCAGAATCTGGTGACAAGGCTTTCTTTGAAAACAGAATTCTTCACGGACAGTCATAATTTCATAATAAATAAATAAATAAATAAATAAATAAATAAATAAATAAAAATAACATGGTTAATTCCAAAATCCTGAAATTGAATGAGTCGTAATAATATCTACTGCAAATGGACACAAAACATTGTGAGGGCATTTTTTCATCTCTGAGTAACTAAAATGTCTATGTTCGGAAAACATTTAATATCAACAACTGACAAAATATGTGGAAACAATCAAAATTTGTTTGAACAAAAATAAAAATGAAATGTTAACAAGTTGAGCCTCTGTAAAAGTTCTTTTTTACAGATCACTATAAACAAAAACAACATACAGAGACAGGAACAACTTCTTAGGACACTGAATTTCTTCTTCTCCTCCTTTTTTTTTTTTTTTTTACAGAGAACCATGACATTGACAGACATGCATAATTAACACAACTGATACATTGGCCAACTGTGGTAATTTGGTAGTTTCTCACAATGTGACTAAAATAAACAAATATTTCCTTAATGTGATGCTTATCTTAATTTTCTTGACATTGCTTGGAAAACAGATCAGAAACAGAATTTTTTGCTAATCAGTATCTGAATTTTCTTTTTGAGGGGGGGGGTTCAATAATAAGAAGTAATTAAGAATAAATTAATTCTGGAAATTGTGAGTAATCACTGGACCCTTAAACAATTCAGAGACTTAATATATAGAGAACAGCTGGTGACATGGTTTGAGGCACATTTAAAAGGTATAAGCATGCACTCATACTACACTTAGAGACCCAGATGCATCTAAATGAATGAAAATCAAAATTATAGGGTTCCGTTTGCATAAAACTCACCAGTTTAAGGATTTATTTTTTATCATAATTTCTGATACTTTCCATGCATCATTTTCATTCATTTTATCACATCTGCATATTATATTTTGCAATTTAAGATTACACCTTCCAAGCATAAGCATTAAATGATTTTGTACAAATATATTTCAGTGTTTTCTATATTATATGAATTGTCAAAGCAAAACCTTAAGTAGTGAATTACTAATCTAGAGGAATCTAAGCCTTCCACACCTTTTATTTGTGAAATGTAAGTATTTAACTTGAATTTAGGTATAGAAATGAATATCATACGAAATTCATCCCCTCATCTTAATAGGCCTTAGCTCTGAAGGCTACAAATCAATGGTTAAAATGTAGTGCTGATATTTGCCTAGCTAGTAAATGTTTTATGCCATCAGTTTCATATATTTTTCAATGTTATATCAAGGCCATTATGATAACTCAACAGAACAACATATAGCACCAACAAAAAGACAATTTGTAATACATTCAAATAATATCTATTGGTCATATTCAATCATTCCACAACAGAAAATAAACTGACAAATTATTTCCTGAATAAAACACAAATTGTGAAACAATTTTGTGATTTTGTCTATTTAAGATCAAAAGGATATGAAAAGCATTTTGGGAACAGAAAAAAATTTAAAGCCAGGATACAAAGCTACAACATATTTTCTGAAAATAATAATAAAACTTGAAATTAATTTGCTTAAAAATCAAGAATTCTTGCATATCAGGTAACAAAAATGACCTTTTTTAAATAAAATAAAAATCTACAATATGAAATCGTACTGGCCATTACCAGAATTGCAGACAACAGACAGACAAGGTTTGAGACAGATGACATAGGTAATGCATTTGAACTGTTATTTGCAAGTTTCTAAAAGTCTCCACTGTTTTTAAAATATCTCATCAAATCAAAAGAATCATCCTCAATGCTCATGTAAAAATATTTAAATTTTACATTAAGACATTTTTTTGCTTATAAGTTTCTCCTTCTGCAAATATATCACTAAAACTATTCAATCTTCTTTACCATAAAACAGAGAGAAACAGCTGAAGACAGAAATTTAGAAACTTGAAGCAGTAAAATTTTTAAAAGAAATATCTTTATACCTCTCATCCTCCTCCATGCTGTAAATAAGAAGAAATCCATAAAGACGACTTCTCTTTTTCAGATACAAAACTGATAACATAAATTGAAGTCTTTTTTCGGACTTAACACCCACTACAATTTGCGTGTGTTTAGAAGTCCATGCCCATTACTGATTAGTGATCTTACAAATTTATATAGACTCTAAGATCATACTTATCCATGATGTTTTGCAATATAAATAAATAAATAAATAAATAAATAAATAAATATATAAAAACTGAATCAATAGACCTTTGGATAAACTGGAAGTCTTTTACAGCAATCGAGAAATATTTTCCAGATCACCTAATGAGACAATCAACATAAAGAAACTACATGGCACTCATATGTGCTAAAAATACATGTACCAGAGTTAGTTGTGTGAATACCAATCGTCAATCTATGCTTTGGAGAGGGGGGAGATGAGGTCAATTATATGACAATGTACAGCATACCAACACAACGTGGTCATGTGATTGTCATGTGAAAGTCACGTGCACTGACTTACCTCAAAGCAAAGATTTTTTTCCTCCCCAGGTACTTGAATTGCTGCATACAAATCCTGACAAAAAACACAATGTCAAAAAATTGTTTTTTTAACACCATCTTAAAATAATTATTATACATAAATATCATTAACATTTGTTCTTAAAATCAATTTCATAGAAAAACTGTTGATGAAAAGGAATACTCCACAATACCTCATTATAAGTTTTAATACTATTTTTGAACTATCCATCAACATATTATAGAATATTTGCAGTGGATTTGACAAATATGTAATATAAATTGCGCCACAGATCTTACAGGTGGTCTTTTAGAATAATTCAAAACTAGAGGATCAGAGAGGCGATACCGCCTCCGGATATTGTACCACCAGCTGGAGTAAGCGCATTCGTATGGACCCCCCCCTCCAAAAAGGGACACCATCACCAGTCTTGTGCTTGACAAGCTCTATAAAATGCAATCAACAGGAGTTCTCAAAATATACAAAAAAATATAATTAAAAATGGTCAGTATATGACTTTCTATTCAACTTCAATAGTAACTATGGACCTATCTCTTCCAGTTTTGGAGATATAAGGGACTAAATGTTATAATTTTGGAATTACCTTAATGTGCCATAAATTTCCTACAGCAAAAATTAATTAAAATAAAGAAAAGGTCATTTTGGTCAAAATTTTTGAAATGGGAGGTGCTCTGAAGTTCCAGATGTTCTAATTTGATGAAATAATGTCATTTTTGACCACAAGTTGCCTGCTTTGCAAAGCCTTATGTTTGATTTTTCTGGAGTTCAAAATTAATTATCCATTACCGTACTGCACATTTTGCTTTCACCACCAATATGTACTTTTTGATACAGCGTAAATTTGGAGATAAAAGGGAAGCAAAATTTGCAAAGTTCAGTTCATGGTGAAAAGTAGGTCAAAGGTCAATTTCAAGGTCACATTAAGATTGCCAGTATATGACTTCCTATT